TAGAGAAGACTTTAACTTTTACCAAAGTATTTTGATGATAAGATACTTGTACTTTTACTCAAGTATCACTTTGAGGTACTTTATACAACACTTGGTAAGACTTCTTGAAGTCAAAAGAAACTTTTCAGATTAACAAGATTAATAATCCAACGTATTCTGAACTTTAGTATATGGGTTTAAAAACAAGATGAAAAATACTTTTATCTGATATCAGACTGTAAAACCTGGTTAGAGGAACAGTTTACTGCAGTAAACAGTCATTTTACTGCAGTAAACAGTCATTTTACTGCAGTAAACAATCATTTTACTGCAGTAAACTGTCATTTTACTGCAGTAAACAATCATTTTACTATTTTACTGCAGTAAAATGACAGTTTACTGCAGTAAAATGACTGTTTACTGCAGTAAAATGACTGTTTACTGCAGTAAACTGTCATTTTACTGCAGTAAACAATCATTTTACTGCAGTAAACTGTCATTTTACTGCAGTAAACAATCATTTTACTGCAGTAAAATGACTGTTTACTGCAGTAAAATGACAGTTTACTGCAGTAAACAGACTCTGCTGCTCAGAAACACTAACAGATTAAATAATCTCCACATTAAACCTGATCAGGTTAGTTTCAGAGAACTTGTTAATCTGTCATACAACTGGTTCAAGGCTTAAATAATTCAGGTTTACACCTAAATCCTGGCTTAATTCCTTATCCTAGTTTCGTGCAGTAGGCCTCTGGACCCAGCAGGACCAGGTTCATAGACGTGGTCCTGGTTTTGGAATCAGAGTCTGTGCAGCACAGGTGAGGCTCTAAGCTCCGCCTCCTCCCACACACACCAGCATGGTGTCATATAACGGACCCAGCTGGGTCTAAATGTCTCTGAGTGAACTGTGAGGTGTTGCTCCGGTCCATCCTGGTGAAGAGGAGCTGAAGCCTCACCTGTGGTCCTGAGGTCTGGATCCGGACCGATTGTGGGTCATGCAGAACATCTAAACATTTGTTTTTTAAACATCAGGACCTGATCCGGTCCCAGCAGAACACATCCTGGACCTGGATCAGGGTACACTCAGAAAGTCCTTTCCAGGAAACGATGACATCACTGAGAACTGTTTGGACCCGGGTCTGGTTCTGGCAGCAGCCGGTTCAGATGTCGGGTTTTATTTCCGTCCTGCATGTCTGGCTGCAGATTATCTCGTCTCAGGCTCCAGAACCACCAACCTTTGGACCTGACGTTTATCCTGAGTCCTGGTGGTCCTGCTGGGACTAAAGGGGGTCTTTCTGAACCGGCTCTGGCAGGGGACTGAGGTTTGGTCGGGGGGTGAGGTCTCTGGTCTCTTGGCTCCTCGTTGAGCTTCCAGATCAGATCAACTCCTAATTCTGCATTTATCTCCTTAGACTGTCTGATTAGCAGCGCGTCACCGGACCCAGAGCTAATCCGGGTCCAGGAATAGAGTCCGGGGGGGCGGGGTCCCCGGAGTCGCTCCACCACGCCCATGTCCACAGGTAATCCCTTCTTAAACAAGTCCTCAGCAGGACAGAAGGACGCCGGGCAGGGGACGTGTCTGCAGGACTGAAGAAGTCCTGGTACCCCTTGGACTCACTGTAAGTGGATCAGGACCGGGACTCAGCTTCGGACCCCCMGTTGGACCAGCAGAGTTCAGTCAGGATGAACTTTGCTGCTCAGATCTTCTTCTCGCGGTACCTGAGCGAGCGGCTCCAACGCTTGTTCTCCCCCMGAGCTGCGGTGAAGGGAGGCGAGGAGAACGACCCCTTCTGGCAGAGGTGGGACTCTGAGACCCCCGTAGGACCCTGCAGACCTCCTCCTCCCAGACCTGATCTAGCTGCTGTAGCTCCCACTGCCAGTTTTAGCTTTCACTCCCTGTCGGACTTCCAGAAGCCAAATTAGAAAACAGCATTGTGGGCTCACAGCATGAAGGTCCAGGGTTCAAGACCTGCTGGGCCTGCTGGACCTGCTGGGCCTGCTGGGCCTGCTGGACCTGCTGGACCTGCTGGACCTGCTGGACCTGCTGGACCTGCTGGACCTGCTGGACCTGCTGGGCCTGCTGGACCTGCTGGACCTGCTGGACCTGCTGGACCTGCTGGGCCTGCTGGACCTGCTGGACCTGCTGGGCCTGCTGGACCTGCTGGACCTGC